ATCATTTGGTCACAAACCAAACATTTTAGTTTTTCATAACTAAAATATACCCACTAAAATTTCTAACTTTTAACTGATATTTCACTATTCATAACTGATATTTACAAATTTTCTTTGTAAAACATTCATGTTATAACTTTACATATTTTGGGAAATTTTACCCTATACATAAAGTTTTTACCTACATTTTCTTGATTAGATTAAAATTCTACTACTTACTATTCCGGAAAGAATTTCGGTCGAATACTGGACTGTCCGGATTAGACCTAAATTTTTCCCGGTCATTACACATATCTAGAACAAGATCCAACCCACATGGAGGCTTAGCTAGAAAAGCCATTCGTTATAATATATATATATATATATATATATATATTATAGATAGGATGATGGTTTATATCCATCTTCAATCCAAACCATGTGAGGGAGTAAAGAAACTGAAGAAAAATCATCAGTGATAATTAACTTGTATCATCACTGTTAAGGCTATCTAATGATTCATCAGCGAAGGCAGCTGATCTGCCTTAACTTGTGTATACATAAAAATATATATATACACATACAAGTGTATAATCAACTTGTACCATCAATGTGTATTATTGTTTTAGCTACGAGATATTAATCTGACGGATGTAATTAATTGAATAGCTGACTAAAAAAGTTAATGACAATTAATGAAATAAGATTTTTATCACGTTACGTCATTAAATTTTTCATATTTAGAGGTGACTACTAATAGAAACATAACCATTAAAAACCCGTCCATACACACGCACATATATATTTATTTATTTAACCAAAACAAAAAAGATGAACGTCCATCATCAAATTATCACGATACAAAGTCAATCCACAATAACATTTGAGTGGAGTGTTGAATTTGTTAAAAATAAAAATAAAAAAAAAATAAAAAAAATAAAAAGAAGGCTCAAGTAACAGATCGTGACTGAAAACCACTCCGCACAAGAAACCAATGCTTTTGGAGAAATAAGTGCTTCTATCTTGCCACAGGACTGAATGCCACACTCATATTTAGAGGCAATGCGTCATTTAAATATGATGAATCAGTTACATGGCTATTGTTCCTCCGAGTTAATTCTGATGCCAGACACTCCCTTAACTCAATCACTACCTGGCTCATGTTTGGCCTTCTTGAAGCTGGGGGGTTTAAACAAGCCATTGCTATCTCAACCGCTTTCCACATCGAGTTGATTTCGAAATCTCCTTGTAATCGCAGATCGACAATACTTCTAACGTCGCCATTAGACAGCATAAAATCAACCCATTCACTTATGTGAGTCCTCTCATCATCAGTAGTTCTACTTATGGCAGGTCGGGCTGTGATTATCTGTAGGATAACCACCCCAAAGCTATAAACATCACTTTTCTCATTGAGCCAGCTATTGTTTGTTATGCTGCACATGAAAACGGCACATAAATTTCATTGGTAACAGATCCAATATTTTAAATGTCATCTAATATTATCATTAATGTTTCGTATGTGCTTAATTGTTCTAAAAAGTGCTCATAAATAAATGATGTAGAAACTTACTCAGGGTCAAGGTATCCGGGAGTGCCAGCAATATGACGTGTGGATACATGAGTGGCACCATCAGCCGAGAAAAATCTTGACAGACCAAAATCAGCAAGTTTCGCTCGAAAGTTCTCATTCAACAAGATGTTTGCAGTCTTCACATCTCTGTGGATTATAGGTGGCTTACAACCATGGTGCAGATAATCCAATCCTACTTGTCAAAATACGTACTTTATTATTCCAAAAAATAAAATAAAAAATTTCCAATTAAATTTGCAATGAAAAGAAATAAGTGAAAAAAAAAAAATGCAGAAGTAAACTTCTAGCAAACCTTGTGCTGCATCTATGGCTATTTCAAGCCTTGTTTCCCAACTAAGGACATTGGCTTGCCTACCTATATTACCAAAACACAAAATATTAATTAGAGCGTTTCTGCATAGTTTCTTTATTCTTAATCGTGAATTATGTATCATTTTACATTTTTTTCCCTATTTTTACATATGAACTCCTCTACAAGAGGGATCTTTTGAGAGAATTTTTTCCAGAAAAATATCCACCCTTAACACTGGAAAAGTAATTGAAGAAGATTTAAATGGAAAAGGAATTGCAAAACAAAATTAGTATACCTGAAAGATGCGATTCTAAATCTCCATTGGCCATGTATTCATAGATAAGGCCCATGTTGGCTCCTTCTTTGAAATATCCAACAAGGCTTGTCAAATTTCCATGATAAACCGTCAAAAGAAGCTTAACCTGTAACTCAATATGACATTCTTCTTTAGTATATACAAGGATAACCTAAGAATTTTGAGTGCATAAATGTGTAATGAATACTTGCCTCTGCTTCAAATTGTTTATATTGTTGTTCAATTTGTTCTTGATTTCTTTCCTTCTCTTCTTGTGATTGCTGATGGTCAACCCGAATAGGTGGAAGAGAAATAATCTTGACAGCTACTTGACTACCTTCATCTATGAAGCCATGATAAACTGTCCCAAATCCACCTTTGCCCAAAACTCGTTTGAAGTTGTTTGTTATTCTTATGACTTCAGAATAGGTGAATTTCCGTTTCTTGGAGTCGAATGACTCATTTTGATCGTCGAATTCTTCCTTGACTAAACCTGCATCAGGAAACGTTTATTATCTCCTGTTATTATTCTCTATGGACAGGTTGTAAAAATAGTTATATTACGTACCTTGTTTCTTTCTAGCTTTCAGACCCATCAAAATAGTCCCTGCAATTAACAAGACAATGAACAAGCCACCAACTGATGCAGCAACCGGAATTACGATATTGCTGCTCTTTTTCTTCTTCTTGCATGGAGACGAGGCACATAAATTTTGATTTCCTTCAACACTGTAATCAATAAAGGAAAACAATGTCAGAACTGTAATTCAAAATTGTACGTGTACAAATTTGCTGGCATGACCCATATTGAATTTGGATTTGAAACGAAATTTGATATTTTTATCGAGAAATAATGTACCTTAATGATAGGGAACGATCACTCGATTTTTCAATGAGTTCAGCTGGAACCAAACCTGTGAGCTTGTTGTTTCCTAAGTTTCTGCAAAGACATGGGACATATATGTAATCTCATCAATTTCATTAGAGGAAAGTTGTAATACCAATTATTACTCTAAACGACTTACAGGACTCTCAAATTCGGCAGTTGAGAAAGGAAGTTAGGCACTGATCCTGTTAAGTTGTTGTTTGATAAGTCCCTGAAATGAACCACAAATCAAAACGTTTCACGTCTATAGCTTGTTAATGACCAAATTTAGACCATCATAACCAACTGAAAATAGTGGGAGACGTCATATTGTATACTTACAATGACTCAAGCATTGTGAGTTTGGATAAGTATGTACTTATCTCGCCTGTCAATCCACTAGAAGACAAGTCCCTGGCATTGCAATTTGTCATTAGTAATCACATAATTAACAGAGTTGAAAATGAAATCATATTGTCAAAGCAAAATTAACATAACCAAATTGAGATTGTGAACTTACAGGGATGTGATTCTGGGTGGACTAGAACCATCATTGCTACAATTTAGACCCGCCCACAAGTATTTTAGTGGAACACAAGGATCACCATCCCAGTTTCTCTTAACTCCGTAATTCGACTTTATGTTAACCATGGCGTCCACTAATTTTTTTTTTTCATATTCATTAGTAAAGTAATCAAAGTAATTATTTAGATAAACCTTACAAAAGATTATAGTTGATCAATGTGGAAAAACTAAGAGTACACGTACCATCATCTTGGTCAGTTTCTAATTGCGAGACACCCACCAGCGCATAAATCTCGATTGCATTTACTATTGGAGGTAGAGTCGAATTCTCAAGCTTATCTAGGGTAAAAGTGTAGTTTACTTCTCCTGTAATGGGTGACGCGCTGTAGACGGTGGTTAAGAGCAAGTAAGTAGGAACAAGGGGCCCATACAAGAACCGCCCATTTACGTTGATGTTGAAAGCTCTTGACTCATTTGGTTTTAGCTGCTGGAGTTCCGCAAAGTGCATGTAGAGATAATATTTTGTGCTCGGATCCAGGAGCTCGAAAATTAGTCGAAAAGGAGCGCTTTTGTTTGCCGGCATGGCGGCATTGTTCATTACAACATGCGGTGGTTGGAAATCGTTTTCGGAATCAACAGTTTGTGATGTTGTTATATCCTTCCATTCGTCAATGTTATACGGCACCCAGATGCGATCAGAAACGTCGTATGGATACCTAAAAATTGGTGAACATCATTCGTAAGATTTTTCCGATTTTATTTTTCAAAAAAAAAAAAAGAAAAAGAAAAAGAGGTAGATACTTATTCAATACAGCATTTTAGAAACATTTAAATGCGGGCTTAGAAATTCATCAAAGATAATTTCAATTTGCATTCCGCAAAGTTCCTTAATGTTAGTTGAGTCCTCTCTTTCATTTTAAAAGGAAAAAGTGGCATTCTGCAAAGGAATTTGAGAAGTACCTTATTACCCCAGTTAAGTTTGAACCAACATCGATTCGAACAGCGAGTGCCAACGACGTCTGAGATTCAACCTTGTAAGTGGTGTTCTTGAGAGGCCTGAGTTCCAGTGCCGAAATAAACGGCGTCCCAGAACCGGTGTTGACGAGGCAAAGACGAACATAATTTTGCAACGGGAAATGTATGATCTCCTTCACAACAACCGATGAAGAGTCGACAATTTTGACGGTGTCCCAAAAATTAGGCCCCAAGTGGAGATCAAACTCCGGCGTGCTGTTCTTGCCGTCGTAATTGCCGTACAAGAACCATGCCCTCATCAGATACTTGGTGCCCCTTTCGGTGTTTATTGTGTAACAGTTTCTGGTTCCATCAGGGAAGCTTCTGACAGTTGTTGCCCAATACTGAAGGTTTACTTTGTATTGGGGCAATATGGTATAAACTTTACCGCTGCTGATAAACGGTGCGTCTGAGATGTAATTTATTTCTGTTGTTGTTTCTGTGTAGTTGGAGTTTTCGGGCAATCCACAATCCAAGCTAATGAAGCCTGAAACATAGAGGAACCTTAGCTATAGCTATATGAAAGAATATTGCTTATAATTATAACTAGAAAAGCAAAAAGTATAAGCATTATGTGGAGACTTTATGTACCTGATTGACCCTGGGAATGAGCAGCAAAGAAAAGAGCATAAGCAACAAGCAAAAATGTTGCAAAATGGAAATACTTGAACATCTCCTTCACCCTCAAACTCTCCATTTGCAATATAAATCTACCAAACTCTTTCCTAAGCCAAAAATCTTTTTCCTTATGATTATGTTTTTATATACCATATTGTCATGTGCTATAGTAAGAGTTATGGAAGAAACCGAGTTGCTGACTTGGTCTAGTCGTTTTTTTTTTTTTTTTTTTTTTTTTTTTTTTTGCCCTTCTTTTCCTTTTCCTTCCATTGTGGGGCCCTTGAGATTATGTGAGAAGTGGCAGATCGAAAAATTTCCTATCATGTTTGTTTAGTTGAAAACTTTGAATTGAATAGCGCATTTACACCTAATTAACCATACGCGACACGCCTAAAATCCATAGGAGACTGGAGGTGAAGTTGACATTTAATAGTCAAAAGCCTTGCATGCAAGGAACTAGGAAATTACTCTAGAGCACCTTATTCAGCACTGATAGCCACTTACTAGTTTGACAATATCTTTTTTCTTTTCTTTTCTAGGGATAGTTTGACATTATTTTTAATTCGACAAAGGATGAGCATTCGGTGTGAAATTTCGAGGGGGGAATATATCCTTCGTAATTAGTAGCTTGCAGCCCATGATGGCTAATAGATAACCAATAAATTTATCTTATATTTAATTGAGACAAGGGATCTAATTAAAATTATTCACGACTACATTGGAGATGAATTATGATATTTATTGGATTTAAATTTCGTGTGAAGATGCCAAAAAAGGACTTTAATTCTACTATGGTGACAAACTTGTGCAAAAATTAACATTTATTAATTAAGTAGAGAAAAATGTGATTATTGACCATGTTTTTCCAAGGCCACAGCACAATAAGTTTCAGTACTATTATTCACCAGCATTTTGAATATTTTTATTGTTATCCAACAGTTAAATATTAACTTAATTCCTTTTTCCCTCTCACATCATCGACCAAATTAAGCTCTCTGTAATTAAGTTAAGTATTCCAAGATAGGATTTCACTTCCTTTTAGAGGGGGAAGAGTATGATTAAGGTCAAATAATTTTAGCGAAGACTTGTACATAAATCGTCGTTTACTATCTAATATTTTGGCTCACTGTTTTTTTTTTTTTTAAGGGTTCTAGCTCATTGATTTGCATTATAGAGGTATCACAACTGAAGCACGTTTAATCGTTATTCTTGTTGTTATCCCAAACCTATGGATGCCACTGCCTAACGTCCTTTTCGGACACGTACTCAAAGTCAAGAAATGAGCAACTTCTCTAGCCCCTAGCAAGTTGAAGTTCGAATTAAAAACGCGCAATTTTGACCTTCAAGTCTTTGTATCATGATAAGCTGCGGGCCCAGCAAGCTCACCCACCAGTAGTTTTTCTTATTTTCTTTTGTCATGATGTCAATTTTCCTCGTCTAGATCAACTTCAAATTTCGTTTTTTGACTCTTAACTATTATGCCGTCAATGGTTTTGCTTTCTTATAATTTTTTCGGTCGCCTAATTCGCTGCATGTGAGGTGGTGGCTTGTCGACGAATCTCTAGCAATTTTGTCAAGAGTCAACACGTAATTTGCATGTAAGTATAAAGGGAATTTAATTTAGAATGTTATTTTTAAGTTACTTAATTCAAAGATTCTATTTCCATAATTCATTTGCTTCTTTTTCTCTTCACACCAATTCCGGGAGAAAATAAGAAACAAAAAGGAAAAACATTCAAGCGCTTATAGAGATTTTCCAATTTTTTGTCCTTTTATCCCCCTTTTCGTCGTTTTTTAATTTTTACTACTCGTTTACATTTTTTGTCGTTTTCTCTTTCGATATTTATTGTTTCTATTTGTTGTCGTTTTTATCATCCCTTTGTCGTTTTTATGTTGTTGTCGTTTCCATGTTATTGTCGTTTTCTATTTTGATGTTTCTTAATCTTATTACGCTGTTATTGCTTCTACATCTTTGCGCTTTTATAAGTGGTTTTCGGTTTTTGCATGTTGCTATCGTTTTATCTCGTATTCTCCCGGACAAGTATTTGTAGTGAATTCAACTTAATAGTAACATTATTGCTATTTCACAACTTTGCTCAGAAAATAATCTCATCATTGAATTCACTTCTAATTCCTTTGTTGTGAAGGATCGTCTCACGGGGGCACAACTCCTCCAGGGTCCAACTAGGCATGGCATTTATGAGTGGCCGTCTCCTGCACCTATTCTAGCTCTTTCCAGTGTCAAAGCGTCGGCTATAGATTGGCATCATCATCTTGGCCATCCCAATTTATCCATCTTCAAAAATTTAGTGTCAAATTTCCGACTTGATGTTTCTAGTGATTTTTCTTTTAATTGCAACTCATGCCAATATAATAAGAGTCATAGGCTCCCATTTGGTCAATCAACGTTGATATCCACTGCTCCTCTTGAACTTATTTACACTGATTTATGGACTTCTCCATTATACTCTATTGATGGTTACAAATATTATGTTATTTTTGTTGACCACTACACAAAGTACATTTGGTTCTATCCTCTCAAAAACAAGTCTGATACAAAAGCAGTGTTTATTAGATTCAAAGCTTTAGTGGAAAAATATTTTGAGAAAAATATCAAAGTCCTATACTCTGACAATGGGGGGGAATATCAAGCCTTGGCAACTTTTCTAACCATTGATGGTGTTTCACATCTCACTTCTCCACCTCATACTCCTAAACATAATGGATATGCCAAACGAAGGCATCGCCACATCGTTGAAACGGGCTTATCTCTTCTTACCCACGCTCAACTACCCCTTGAGTTTGGGTCTCATGCCTTCGTCACAGCCGCATATCTTATCAATAGGCTTCCCATGCCAACTCTCTCAAACTCATCTCCCTATCATCGTCTCTTTGGTACTCCTCCTAACTACCTCAAGTTAAGGAGTTTCGGTTGTCTGTGTTATCCTTGGTTACGACCTTATGCCACACACAAATTAGATCCCAAGTCTATTCCTTGTATCTTCATTGGGTATTCTAAGAATCAAAGTGCTTATCATTGTCTAGATCCCACCACCCACAAAGTCTACACGTCTAGGCACCTTCGGTTTATAGAAACCGAATTTCCTTATGCTCGTCTTGGCACTCGCACTCATGCTACTCCCATACCCAATCCGGACCATTGGTATCCCTTGTCGCTGCCCATAATTCAGCCAGTACCTGTCCATAATCCCCCGACCATTGACAATGGTCTAACCGCTATCCAACCTAACTCCCCGCAGCCACACCAGCATCCTTCCTCAGACCCCCTCGTGGCCCAACCTAGCCCAGCCACATCTTCTATGGAGCAGCAGCCCACTGCCCAGCAGGCCATTACACCCCAACCTAGCAGTCCATCTCCTACAGCCATTCTACCACCCCCTCCTCCACCTCCTGGCATTATCACCCGCTCCAGATATAACATCCACAAGCCCAACCCCAAGTACACCCATCATACCACTCTACAACATAAACCAACCGAACCTACTACCGTCGCCCAAGCTCTTAAAGATCCTCTTTGGCGGCAAGCAATGATTGCTGAGATCACGGCATTACATAAGCTTGGTACTTAGGACTTGGTGTCCCCCGAAAATAGTCGTAATCTTATCAAATGCAAATGGATATTTCGCATCAAATACAAACCTGATGGGAGTGTAGAACATTATCGTGCTCGTCTTGTTGCAAAAGGATTCCAACAACGCCCCGGTATCGATTATACGGAAACCTTCAGTCCGGTTGTAAAACCGGCCACCATCCGTACTTTTCTCAGCCTTGCGGTTACAAACAAATGGCATCTCCGGCAACTTGATATTAATAATGCATTTCTTCATGGCACACTTCATGAGGAGGTATATATGTCACAACCCCCCGGTTTTGTGGATGCTGCCTTTCCTACTCATGTTTGCAAATTGCGCAAGGCAATTTACGGGCTCAAACAGGCACCTCGAGCATGGTACACAGAGCTAGCCAATTTTCTCATTGGTTCGGGTTTCAAGCGATCGGTTGCTGATGCTTCATTATTTATCTTGCATCATTCCACGTCATCCATTTATCTCATTGTGTATGTGGATGACATTATAGTAACTGGTCCTAATACTACTAACCTAAATGCTTTCATTAAAAGATTGGCTAGCAGGTTCTCCTTGAAAGACCTTGGTACACTCTCTTATTTCTTGGGAGTAGAAGTCACGCCCACCTCTCATGGTCTCTTCCTCAGTCAAAAGAAGTATATTGTTTATCTACTTGAGCGTATGCATATGCTTAATGCTAAGCCGGTTCCGACTCCCATGGTGGTCAACAATGCTTTAACTCTCACTTCTAGTGAACTACTTGACACTCCTACAGATTATAGAGCAGCAGTTGGGGGTCTCCAATACCTAACGCTCACTCGGCCCGATGTCGCATTTGTGGTAAATAAGCTATCTCAGTTCATGCAAAAGCCAATAAGCGCTCATTGGGATGCTCTCAAACGGCTCCTTCGATACTTGTGTGGCACTCTCGACAAAGGCTTCACAATCTTCAGTCACTCGCCACTCAATCTTCATGCCTTCTCAGATGCCGATTGGGCCGGAAACAAGGATGACTACACTTCTACAATGGGTCAAATCGTCTTCCTTGGTCGCACCCCGATTACTTGGAGCTCTAAGAAGCAAAAGTCTCTAGCACAGTCTTCTACAGAAGCCGAGTACAAGGCTGTTGCCTCTACCACTATTGAACTCATGTGGGTTCAAAATCTCCTTGGCGAACTTGGTATTCAGCTCACTAGTACTCCGGTCATTTATTGTGACAACTTAGGTGCCACGCATCTTAGTGTTAATCCGGTTTTTCATTCCCGCATGAAGCATCTCGCACTTGCCTATTATTTTATTCGAGAACAAGTTCAAAATGGTACCCTTCGTGTCACTCATGTCCCAACGGGCGACCAACTAGCAGATTTTCTTACGAAGCCGTTGGCTCGAGCTCGGTTTGAAATGATGACATCCAAGATTGGCCTCTCCGATCAGACGTCCATCTTGCGGGGGCATGTTAAAGATAAAGCCAAGACTTAGTCTTACTATTATCTCGTAGTTTGTTGTAACAATATTCTAGCTGTCAATATCTTTAGTTAGGATATATATCTCTTTGTTATTCTACCTTATCTCTCGTATACGGTTAGACTAAGTTTGTTAGGTTAAGATTATCTTCTAGCTTTACGTGTATTATATATACTTGTACCAATCATTAAATAAACTCAACCTTTCTTAAACATTCATAATGGACAGTTCCTGGCAGTTTTTATATTTGTCTTTGTGAACGACGAAACAAGTGTGTTATAGATTGATTAACTGAGATAATTATGTACGCGTGTTTGCGGAAGTCAATTAAATTGGCAGATTCCAAGAAGACATTGATTAGAGATTTGCAATGCTTGAGCATGTTTTAAAGATTTCCGTATACGCCTGTTTATGCTTTTAACTTATTGTTTTACCCTGATTTTAACGATTTTAAATCTCCATCTCTCTCCATCTCTCTTTTACGAGGGAACACAATGGAGTTTGAAGTTCTCTAAAAAAGAAAGAAGGGTGAAAACAATGGAGTTCGAAAAATACACAGAGAGTGGACCCCGTGACGATGGCTACTAAGGCCTAGGGGGGGCCCTCAACTTTTTAAATTTGTTTTTTACCTATATATCTATAGGTAGGTATCTTTATAGATAATTAGATATAGCTCCCCTCCTAAAAATTGAAAATCTAACCTTTAAACCTCTAAAACCTTTTAAAAGAACTACTTTTTCAACAACAACAACAACAAAAAAAAAAAAAAAAAAAAAAAAAAAAAAAACAAACAAACAAACAAAACCCTTTAAGAATACTACTAATTACTAAATATAAATAACACATATCTATTAGTTTTTCCAGAGGAATACGAGATAAGACGATAACAACATTTAAGAAGTATTAACTCTACTTCTTAAAAAATACCTTTATAAAAAGAACTACGTTCTTAAAGAAAAATACCTTTAAGAAGTATTAGCTCTATTTCTTATTACGTAGAGAAGATATTTTTTGCTATGAATATTGTAAAAAATTGGTTACGCAATTGAATTGGAGATAAATTGATTAATGATACTTTAATTACGTACATCGAGAAAATTGCAATAACCGTGATAATGTGGTTATTAAGCAATGTTTTTATAACATGAAATCTCTTCTTGAACAATTTGTAGTAACCTAAAAATGAATTTTGATTAAACTTTATATGTAGTTAAAATTAGTCCCCTCTCAGAAAAATTTCTCGCTCTGTCATTGATGGACCTAAACTTAAGTTATTGATCATTTCCGTATTACGTATGAAGATATCGAAGCTTCTTCAAATAACAAAGGTTTTGTTGCATATTTATGATCCCAAAACAACACAATGAAGAAAATCATTCACTAAACAAAAGTGTTACAAGTAGTAGAAGAAAACTAACAGATTTTTCAGTAAGCATATTAAAACTGATGCCTTTGGACAAAGCATTAATTTTCTACCTTGCCAAGGGACTGAGTTCCGTAGTCACATCAAGAGATAACACTTCATTAGAATCCGTCAAATCAGTCACACGGCTCTGGTTTTTCCGAGCGAATTCCGCTGCCAAACATTTTTTTAGTTCGCTCACTACCTCACTCATATTTGGCCTTTTAGAAGGTGATGGAGATAGACAAACCATTGCTATTTCAACAGCTTTCCACACAGAGTTGACCTCGAAATCTCCTTGTAACCTCGGGTCAACTATACTTCTAATGAGCCCATTAGCAAGCCTAGAACTAACCCAATGGCTTATGTGAGTCCTCTCATCAGTCTCATTTGAACTAATTATGGCAGGTTGGTTTGTGATTATCTCCAAGAGCACAACCCCGTAGCTATAAACGTCACTTTTCTCGGTCAGCCTGTTTGTTGTGTAGTACCTATGAGGAAAAAAAATTGCATTTAGATCACGAGTGAGAATTCACAACAACAGTACGTCTTTAAGTTAGTTGATTGTGTGTTTGCAATGAATAGAGTTTGTAAGAAACACAATAACGTACGCTGGATCAAGGTATCCGGGGGTGCCAGCAACGACTGTGGACACATGAGAACCGGCCTGAGTAGGGAAACTTCTGGATAGCCCAAAATCAGCTAGCTTTGCTTGAAAATTATCAGTTAACAAGATATTTGGAGTTTTTACATCTCTGTGGACTATAGGTGGCTTACAACCACTATGTAGATACTCCAATCCTACATTTTAAATCCGAAATTTTCCTCATTGTCAGAAAATTTACAGAGGATGTGCTCAAGAAGAATGCTTTGAGTCAACTTTCGTGCTAACCTTGTGCGGCGTCCGCTGCTATATGAAGTCTTCCCTCCCAACTCAACATATTTTTGCTGCTTTCACCTATTTGGAAGTAAATTAAATTAATTTAGTTATAGTTTCGTGGTACCTCTATACGTAGATCAGACAAGTAACATCAGTTTTTTGCTGATAAAATCACAAATTTTGTAATAAGAAGACTAAACCTGAAAGATGTGCGCCTAAGTCTCCATTTGCCATGTACTCATAGATAAATGCCATGTTGGTTCCTTCATTACAGTAACCAACTAGGCTAGTCAAGTTTCTGTGATAAACTTTCATAACAAGCTTAACCTGTAAATGAAAGTCGCATAAAAATTTTGGTCAACACATGCATGTGAATGTGAAAAGGCTGGGTAGCTTTTATGCAGATCAGCGAAGAAAAGTACATGCCTCTGCTTGAAATTGTTGATAGCTTTGCACAGATGAAGAATAAAGCATCTTAACAGCTACTTGAGTATTGTCATCTATGGAGCCATAGTAAACTGCTCCAAATCCACCTTTGCCCAAAATTCTCTCAAAGTTGTTTGTCATTCTTTGGACCTCAGCAAATGTAAACTGTCGTCTTACGGGCTCCAACGAATCCTTTTGCGGCTCGGGTGCTGAATTTTTGGTTCAAGCAAATGTCAAGTGCAAATGTCACAAAAATGTGCATAATAAAACTTTTCTTCGCTGTTTTTAAGACTTGCATATTGGATATATGATGGAATACCTTGTCTCTTCTTCTTTTTCAGGCTCAGCAGAACTGCTGCTGCTATAAATAAGAGAAGAACTAGTCCACCAACTGATGCCACTACTGGAATCAAAATATTACTGTTCTTCTTCGTCTTGCACTTAGATGAAGCGCATAAGTTTAGATTCGCTCCCACACTAAGATTCTCAAATTTGAAGAAATATAGTAACTTTTTAACTTCCAAAGTAAAAATTAAAAATTAAAAAAAAAAATGATCAGGACATAGAAAGTGACAAGACCTTAATGACAAGAAACCATTATTAGACTTTTCAACGAGTTCAGCTGGAAGTGAACCTGTAAGGTTGTTTCTTTCTAAGTTTCTGCAAAGGAAAGATGATTTGAAGTTCACATACGATAATAAAATTTGCAGCAACAAAAATATTGTTTGTCATAAAAACTTACAGAACCCTCAAGTTTGGCAACTGTGCTAGAAAATCAGGCACTGATCCAGTCAAATTATTGTCTGACAAGTCCCTGATAAGGCACACACATTACTATGACCAAATTTACAGGATTATCTTAGTAACTAGCTTTACAAGCATTATTTCAGAATTGGGTACTTACAAAGATTGGATCATAGAAAGTTTTGATATGTTTGCTGCTATCTTACCAGTCAATCCACTTGAAGACAAGTTCCTGATTGTAATAACTTTGAAAATGCATCAAAATTACCAATATTTGATAAAGGTATATATACACATATGTATATATATGTAGAGACGAAAAAACTTACAAGGCTATAATTCTAGGAGGATCAAAACCATTGTAGCTACAATTCAGGCCTGTCCACAAGTATCCCTTGGGAACACAAGGGTCTCCATCCCAATTCTTCTTCACTCCATAAGTTGACTTTATGTTTGTAATTGCATCCACTGATTAATGTTTCCACATTCATTAATCACACAAGGGTAGCAAGAAACAATAATTCACAATTGGAATAATAAAACCAATTAACTAAGGAAGAAAATGTACGTGTGGGGAAGAACATACCGTCCTTTTCATTTGTCTCTGACTGCTGAAAATCCACCGCCGAGTAGGCCTCAAAGCCATTTAAGATAGGTGGCAGAGTTGAGTTCTCGAGCTTAATTATCGAAAAGTTGTAGCTTGATGATCCCGAAAATCCAATCTGGTTGGTTATGGTGGTTGTGTTTAGGTAAACAGGAGCAAGAGGTCCATACCAGAGCTCCCCATTTAGATTGATGTTGAATGCTCTGTACTGCTCAGACTTGAGCTGTTGAAGCTCAGCAAAGTGCAGGTAGAAGTAGAAGGTAGTACTCGTATCCGCGGCTAAGTAAAATTCCATTGGATTGCTTTCGTTGACCGGAGTAGCGGCAGTGCTCATGACGATGGACGGCGGCCGGTAGTTTTTCTTACTTTTGGGGTCAATAGTTTGAGATGTACTTATTTGAGTCCACCAGTTGAAGTCATTAGGAAGCCAAATCCGGTCAAGAAAGTCATATGGATACCTAAAGTAAATAAGGAAGCATTAGTACAATTATTGCAATACTTAATATATTGATCTAATGAGATTAAGAGTCACTAACCCGTATGCTGGACCACTAGCTGAGCCGATATCTAGGCGCGAAACGAGCTCCAAAGACTCAGATGGAGCACTGTTGTTGTAATAAACTTGGCTGCTCATAGGCCTAAATTCCAAATCTGAAATGAACGGTGTCCCAAGACCAGTATTGACAAGGCAAACATGGACATAGTCCTGTGATGGTATATGTATGATCTCTTTGAAGGTACTTAGGGACACATTCACAACTTTGACCGTGTCCCAAAAGTTGGCTCCTAAATTGAGATCGAATTGTGGCGCGGAATCTTGGCCATCATAGTTACCATGAAAGAATGTTGCCCTGATCAAGTACCGAGTTTTCTTTGTAACGTTTATTTTGTAGCAGTTCCGAATCCCTTCGGGGAAGCTTCGGAGAGTCTTCGCCTGTTCTTGGCGATCAGCCTTGTACTTGGGAGCTATGCTGTGGCTTGTACCAGTGGTAATGAATGGAGCGTCTGAGATATAATATATCTGCGTTGTTGGTTCTGTGTAGTTGGAATTTCTTGGCAGCCCACAATCTAAGCTAATGAAGCCTGTGACAAATGGGAAGGATAAGGAGAAATAGTGCAGTGTTTTAACTTATGTGCTTATATGGTATGAACAAACTGGAGATCAAACTAATCCATATATATATATATATGTATGTATATACATGTAAGGAGATTTAGATGAATGTTTTACCTGATTGATCATTTTGTGCATGAACGAGAAGTTCAAGAGAAAACGAAGCTATTAATATTGCAAAGCCGAAGTGATATTGTTTGAACATCTTTACTGAAAACTTGGTTCTATTATGCTGAAGAGAATGCATAGCAAAATGAGAGGGGACGATAAGAAAGTCTAAGAATTAGAAATGTGAGAAGAGAGTTATATATCTTTGGTGGATGTAATATTGTTATTAAAATTCAAGCTTACTAGTGTGCCTAAAGTAACATTTGTAGAATACTGTAAAACAATATATGGGACTGGCCTAATTAGAATTTGTTTGGTGTTAGATTGTACATTGAATTCTAGTCTAAATAGATGTGAATGTTGTGAAATGGATGTCAATAAAGGTGGCTTTAAGGCGATATTGGCGGAAATGGGTTCAAACTTTATTTACCAAGTTGATGGTAGAAAACAAGCAATTCTGTTATAAGAGGTAAGATTTTTCTGTGTACCCTTTTTTACTTGGCTGAAAAAATGACAAAAATTATACGTTTGGTTCATAGATTCAGAACCATTCTCGATTTAAGTGTGTTTTTTATGAGAGAAAATATTGTAGCAAACCACGAACCATGATTCGAATTATGACACATATCCTTGCTCCAAACACACCTATGATTCGTAATTTCTTGGATGTTACGCGAATGAATAATTGATTGGACAGAAAAAGTATTGATAGAGCTTATAGTTTTAACTATTTGGACTAATGTGAAACAACGCCGTGGACTATATATTTCTAATCAAAGACTATGCAGTGCTTGTTTACTCTTCTAATCAAACGCGCTTTTTATAACATGGACATTCTGGTGAAAGGTCGGCCACTTTTTGGAACGTATTACTTCCACAAAATGTTAATACATAAAGTCAAATCGAAAGGGCCAATCTCTATGTGATGCTTGGAGTGGCCATTTTATGATGTGGAATGTGTACCGTGGACTGTTGAATATTGTATAGCACAGAAGTTGTAGGCTAGTTGTTTCGCTTTCTGCCTTTAACTTTACGTGCTTTGTAGTCCAAAACTTTGCACCGCATATGGATGATGGTCCCAAGTCAACTTTTCTACTTAACCTTAGTTTATTTTACCGATTTAAGTTTTAAATTTTAAATTTTTACAGTTAAAAACTCTCAAAAAATGTCACATTTAATTTTTTCTACCACGGTTAAAAACTCTCAAAAAATATCACATTTCAACTTGAATTGAAAACTCAAAATCGCGAGACGAATGAGGGCTCATTCTTCATAATAATCGAATCCAACGTCAAAGGGAGATCCAATACGTTTCATACTGTTCATTCATTTTTTGTTCACTGCAAAATTAGTAATATTTGGACAAAAAAGAAGGATATGAATTATTTATCAAAACATGATTAAAGATATAGTATAATAGTATCTTCATTTTGACAGTTTCACCGTCTAAAAGAAAAAATTATTTCTAATTTAATTAGTAGTTTTTATTAAAAAAAAAAACGGTCCAAAGAGACCGTGAACATCCCTATGAGAAATTAATTAGAGTACACATATTAGAAGAAGAAAAATGTTTGCTTAAGGATATATTAGAGAAAAAATATTTCTGTAGAGTAAAAAAAGAGAAACAATAGTCAGACACATGTAATATAGATTTCTAAGAGAATTCTAAGAAAATAACTTGAGTAAGGATATATTTGTAAAAAAAATATTTTACAGAAAAATTAGAGGAGAGAAAAATAATTTAACAAAGTTGATTTGATTATATATGTGAAAAAAGATCGAAAAATGATAGGGAACATAAATAAAGGAGAAATATGTAATAAAAATTCTTAAGAACCAAAGAATAAAAAAAAATTAAAAAAAGAAAGCGACGAGACGGGGATGAAACGTTCCCGCACGCGTCATTTCCACAAGCCAAACGGATCACCGCTTTTATTTTTGTGTGTAAATATATATATATATATATGTATGTATGTATGTATGTATATAACATTTGATTTTAAAGTAATTTTAATTGAAATGTGTATTTTAAGGATTTTTAATTTTATATTAAAATTTTATATGCTTTAATAATAATACAGTTTATGCTTTAATATGTTTGGGATATATTTTTTAATTTTTGATTTGGAATTTCTTTTTTAAAGTTTATGATTTAAAATTTAGTTATTTTGTTCTTATTTTATTTCATCATTATATTTTTTTCTTTAAATTATTTTAAAATTTATTGAAAAAAAATAATTTAGATGATTAATTAAGTGTGATTAAAAAATCTAATTACTAATTACTTATTGGCATAATATATAATATTTTTTTAAAGTTCAACACATAAAAGTTATTAAAATATAGGTAAATAAATTTATAATAATTTATTCTAATTTTGAGAATAAATAAATGCATACATAGAATTAGAATTGATTCCAACTTTAATTCTTGAAATTTAAGTAAAGAGCTTATTCTAATTTTGATTAACTCTCCACTTTGAATCCTGTCCGTTCCAATTCCAGATAAGTAAACATCCCATGATTAAAACCGGATTACTCGCCTGTGAAGTCCAACTAGTATGACATTAAACGAGAATCTTTGTTGTCGTTTTCCTTTAAACGACAGCAATTAAATTTAGCTCTGATCTCATCACATTTTCAAGCGTGTTAGCCCCTTTCTTCTCCGGTGAGCAAGGTCAATGATTCAACTTCAAAAGGAACCCTAACTATCCAATAAATTGGAACTTTCTCGAAGCTAGACGGTGGTGGAGGAATCACTCGGCGAAGAAGTATGGCAACGCCGCCAGTGGGGGCGCCGGGAATGGAAGGCCGTCCGCCGGCGCCGCCACCACCGCCGGGAACGGACATGACGGGAATATGCTTCAGGGACCAGCTCTGGCTCAACTCATTCCCTCTTGATCGCAATCTGGTCTTCGATTACTTTGCTCTCTCCCCCTTCTATGATTGGACCTGCAACAATGAACAGCTTCGCATGCGCTCCATTCACCCTCTCGACCTCACCCATCTCTCGTAATCTCCTCTCTTTCCTTTTTTTGTCGAATTTATCTATGAATTTTCTCTTCGATTGCTGAGAACATGAAAATTGAAGGGGAGTCTATAGACTCTTTTGAACTTTATTGATTTTGTTGTTTAACGTTCCCGGTAGGGCAAATCTTATGAGAGTAGTTGATTCATTAGTGAATTCTTAAATTTGTTTTGGGCTTAATTTCGTGGTGTTTGCGATCACTCTCTACTTAATGACATAACAAACTTATTACTTGTTATTCGTTATGCAGATTCGTTAGTTTAATTTAGGTTGAGTAACGAAACTTTTGTTTACTGTGAATTAGCTGCAGAATTCTTTGTGAGACATAGATGAGTATACTCAAACACTTATTTTGGGTATAAGTAGACTATGTTATCTGTCTGACAAATAGCAAAGTGCTTGTGGTTTGACTAACAAGAGAATTAGATATTTTGTATACTTTGTGGCTGAGTCCAAGTTCTTGGGACAAATGCACGGTTAAGGAGAGTAATTTGTTTGTTTTTCAGGAAAATGACTGGCACAGAATACATGCTGAACGAGGTTTTGGAGCCCAACCTTTTTGTTATCCGCAAGCAGAAGCGGGATGGACCTGAAAAAGTTACACCGATGCTGACTTATTACGTTTTGGATGGGTCGATTTATCAAGCACCACAGCTTTGCAATGTTTTCGCTGCTCGAGCTGTAGGTGCCTTTTTCTTTCTTAATATATTTCTTAATATATCAACACTACTATGAATATATCAAGACCGCAGCTTTGCAATGTTTTTACTGCTGAAGTTCTTGGTACTTTTTTCAGTATCAAGTTATGTTCATTTCATAGTATATGAAGCTGTTTGGACGCAATTCCTCTTTTAGTGAGCATATATTGTTCAGATTCCAGACTATTTTGTAACACTGCATTACAGTTGCCTACATTGATTATCCGTTAAAGCCTAAAGGAAAATGTTTTTATCTTGGTTTTCTATGAATGCTGCAGGGACGTGCTCTTTATTACCTACAAAAGGCTTTTACAAATGCTGCCTCAAAGTTGGAGAAGATTGGATATGGTATGTTATCTAATTGCTACTCATTTTTCTCCTATTTGCTATGAGTAGGAACAAAAATCACTGTCAAATGACGTATCATTCATTTTAAGGGACATAAAAATGGGTTCTATAATGATGGTACTTATATTGTGGTATGCACTGTTGGTAATATTTTGTGATTTTTCAATAGCGAAGCTCATTTGGTACTTTGTTGTTTTTGTTTATCGGAAATTTGTAATCTTTGTTGATAATAGATTTTTTACTAGACTAAAAAGTTTGATTTATTGTTTTTCACATCTGCTGCAGTTGATTCTGAAAATGAAAATGCGCCTCTGGATTCCAAGATTGGCAAAGAGACAATTGATTTCAAGGAAATGAAGCGAATAGATCATATTCTTGCATCCTTACAGCGCAAGGTAACTATGCTCTCCCATATAGCTAGTGTAAAATGAATCAGAAGTCCATAGCAATGTAGGGTTTGTACTTGGAAAATATAATTTCCAAGATATAGTATAAAACGATGTAGACTCTTGGAATGCATATTCATACATTCAGTTTCATCTCTGCTCCTCTGAAGTTTTACGATTTACATCCCAAAAATCTTAGTCCATTTCTATGTGTCTAGAGTTAGCTCTGAGTCTGGGGTGACTCAAATCCACCTTGCTAGTGCCTTGGGTGAGAGCTTCTGTACCCACATTTTTGGCGTCAATGTTTTTCATGGACTGCACTTTAGGCGTTCATAATAGAACTACCTGCTTTTCATAAAGGAATTGCCTCTAATCTGGCTGTCTTAGGTTACAAAGTTTAATTAGAAAGTTTGACGTCAATGTTTTTCATGGACTGCACTTTAGGCGTTCATAATAGAACTACCTGCTTTTCATAAAGGAATTGCCTCTAATCTGGCTGTCTTAGGTTACAAAGTTTAATTAGAAAGTTTGACGGTATTCATTTGTTAATACCAAATACAGCTCCGGAAACAGAGAATTGTTGTGGATGCACTGGTGCAAAGCATTTACTGCTTTTGTTAAACATTATAGTATGTTTTGTCCTGGTATTGCTATCTCATAATAAATCCATTACTAAGGTTACCTAAGTCACTCCATATATGCAGCTACCACCAGCCCCACCACCACCACCGTTTCCCGAAGGCTATGTTCCCCCGCAGAATGCAGATTCAGAAAAAGGCCCTGAAGCCCAGCAGGCAGGAGAGGCACAACAAGCTCCTGTGGATCCCATCATTGACCAAGGCCCAGCTAAAAGAATGAGATTCTGAACAAGAGTTGCAGCATCAGCAGACAAAAGTATGTGCAATTCTTAAGCTAACGCAAGAGGATTATTTTACAGTTTTTAATTGAATGTAAACTAACCTCCTGGACCTTCTTCTCCTTTTTCTATTAAAGTTAAAATTGGATTCTCACTAAGTATAGTTCGTGAGGTCTTAATCAAAGTTCAGTGTAGCTCTTGTAAGATAGAGAATGCGATTCAAATTGATATAAAAGCTTTGTCCAAAAGTTCGATTTTCTCTTATTCGCTACTTTGCAGTTGTTACATTTCCATGTCTGAAGTATTCTGGACAAATGCTTCAGGGTGTATGTAGCTACTACAAATTGAGGATTCTGTGGATCAGTTAAATCTGATTTACTCTCAAATCAAATATTAAACTAACTACCTGCTTTGTCAGGATGAGTTTCCTAGCTTCTAGTTTGATGAAAAATGTACTGATCCCGCAAAGAATATATCGCCCCATCATGCTGAATCACAGTAAGTAGTATATATGGACTTGCCATAAAACAACTGTAGTCACACAATTGACCAACGGTGGGTGTTAACTTATTGTGGTGGAACATTGCTGCCTAAATCAGTAATGCCGGTTTGTACACGGCGCAGAGCTGGTGTGTCGGTGTCGCGCCCGCCACCCAGTGTCGTAGAGGAGACTTAACATTTTTCATTAATTTAATATTCGAAAATGTACACTTGTTCAGTACTGATAAAAAAAACTTAGGTACTTTACCATAAAAGTGCATATATAATTTATGAACTAGATCACAAAATTGTTACTCCTTTTATGTTGGCTTCACTGTAGGAGTACTCGTTATAACAATGGAAAGGACAATTAGAAATTAGGTAGCTATTTAACATGATGGCAAATTAACAAGGTTCACTGTCTAACGCCGCCATCATGTCTGTGCACAAGTGCATGTGACATTTTCACTAGCGCACTTGAATTAAAGATTCCTCTGAAAACTATTATGTAAATGTATCGCGAAATTTAGCTGAGCATAAGTTGTGAGAAAAATTAAAACAAAACGAAGCTTTGGTTTTCAATACTTGAAAACCTATTTTCATTTAACAAGAAATCGAGTTTTTGCTTGGACCTTTTTCGCGTTCATTAATGTAAGAGCATAATGTTGAGTGACTTAATGAGAGGAATATTTCTTTTAGTGAGTCGAATTTGAAATATATCTCTTTTTATGGAAAATTCAAGCATTATTTTTCACATAAAAACAGTACAGGTAGATAAATAAGTAGAATTTAAAAGTGATACACAGCGTAATTCACGCTAAAAATCCTGCTTACATCCATCATAGTTTAATCACACCTCGTATTTTAAATACTTGTGGCCAACTAAATAAGCTAAAAATTTTAGGTCCGTTTGGTAATATTTTTAAAATGATTTTCTTTTTAGTATAAGAGTGAAAATGATATTATTTTGAAAATCATTCTAAGACCGATTTTGAAATTGCGTTGGTTAGTCTTTTAAGATATTATTTGAGTATAGTAAAAAAATAAAATTGTGTTTGGTTATATTTATGAAATTTTGTTTCGAGTACATGCAATTAATCATGTTAAATTAATATATTAAGTAATTAATAATTGATAATCACTTAACAAATAAAAATTAATATATTAATAATATAATAATAATGGATATATTATAATTAATGAATACATTGGTAATTAAACTATATATATAATGAATTAGTATGCTAAATAATTAAAAAGTAGTAATTAATAATCAGTTATAACTAATTACCATGTTAATAACGTACTCATATTTATTAGTTTATAAGTAATTAATAATTGTATTAAGAAAAAATAATTAGTATATAAATAATATATTAATATTCTATTTACTATTTAAATAAATAACTTTTAGTTACATAATTAAATAATTAGTTACTAACATTTTTTTAATAATCTATCATTTGATATATTACAGGATCAATTTTTAATAATTATTCTTAAAATAATGATGAATTGCTATTTATTAATTATTAATTAATATATTATATAATTAGTAATTAATAATTAATAATTAAATAATTTAATGTAATATTGTCGGTAAGTACTAGAAAATGAAAACAGAAAAGGAAAAACAACTTCTAATTGTTTTTTAATTTCTTTCACAAAAATCATTTTCATTGTTTTTTGTTTTCGTTTTCGTTTTCAAAACATTTGCTAAACAAATATGGTTTGCACACCATTTTTCATTTCGTGCCTCAAAAGACGTGCAAAAACGTTTTTAAAAACAACCAAAAAACAGTTCCAAACGTCACTCTTTATTTTTCAATTTTAGTTTTGGAATTACTAAGCTTCGTCTCTATTAGAGAGCACGAGCATGAATACCGCGCGTTGTTGTGGTATATAATGTTGTATCACATAAAAGATTTTATAGCGTTATTGTGGTATATAATGTTATATTACATAAAAGATTTTATATTATTACAAACATATTAACAAATATATACACATGTAGTATTAGAAGCCAAAATATATTTATATGTACATATAGACATATATACATTATAAAACAGTAACGCTTATCTGATCCATCGTGTTGTCTTTTTTAACTGCAAGATGGCAATGTTAAGCAACCAAATAAGGCAATATAATATTTAAAGAAAAAAAAATCAACAAACAGAGAACGAAACAACATATCCAAGAAAGAAACAATATCATTACAGAAGAAAATATGAACCAAATTAGTAAATGATGGAAGAGGGAACATAGAAAGTAAGAACTTTCAATGAATCCTTAGGCGATGGAAACGAATAAGAGAAACAACAAAACACAACCTTTTTCTAATACAGATCTAACCCTATCTGTAAAGGGAAAATATTTTTTACAAATAGATGTAAATACCAATGAAGAACATGTGTAGTAAACAAACATAGAAGAGCAAAAGAACAAACTAGCAACACTTAAAAAAAACCTAAAAGAAAAAAAGGAAACAAATAGAAGACTCAGTAAAAAAAATAAACAGGCTCGCAAAAAACGTTGGCTTAAGAGGAAAAGAAAAAAGAAGAAAATTTCTTTTTTAAAAAAAAGAAGAAAAAAATTCATATTTGTGCACAAAAGATAGAGCAGAAAGAGAGAAAAATAACAAAAGGCAAGAGCTTTCAGAAGAAAATGATAAAACTTGAGGCGGTAGAAAAAAATAAGAGAAGTAACATAATACAATCTTCCTAATATAGATCTAACCTGATCTAACCTTATCTGTAAAGGGAAAAAAAAATTCTAAATAAATTTCTGTTACAAATAGACGTAAATGCCAGGGATTTTTTTTTTCTCTGCTCTCTCTTTGGACCACGGCTGGCCTCCACAATGAACGGGGGAATTTTTTTTCCTAAGTACTACAATGCACATGAAAACAAATAAATGGACCCCACGTTCATTAGAAAACCAACATTACAAACAACACATTCACTCCACGTGTCTTACTTGTCCCCCAACACGTAAATTGTTTTTCTAAAAACAAATTCCGCAAGAAATAGACGAAAATACCAACTGAAAACATGTGTGTAAACAAACATCAAAGGGCAAAACGGTAAATATACATTTAGGAGGTTAAAAAAGGAAGTTCACTGTTCATAACACTGTACAGTGAACAGTAACATTACAAACTCTCCTTTAGTATATGTACGAGTATGAATATCGCGCATAATGTAGTATCACATTAAAGATTTTATAGCGCTACTACAGTATACAATGTTATATTACATAAAAGCTTTTATATTATTACAAACATATTAACAAATACATACACATGCAGTATTAGAAGCCAAAATATATTTATATGTACATATAGACATATATATTATAAAATAATAACGCCTATCGAATCCATTATGTTGTCTTCTTTAACTGTAAGAGAGCAGTGTTATGAAACCAAAATAAGGCAATATAACATTTAAAGGAAAAAAATCAGCGAACAGAGAACGAAACAACGGGCGCATTTGGAACTCGTTCTAAAATAATTTTTTTTTTCTATGAAAATGAAAATGAAAATGTTTTCAATCTCAGACATAAATCATTTTTGAAAATGCGTTTGGTAGTTTTATCAAGAGATTGTTTTCAATGTAAAAAAATTTCATTAATGTCTCTCTTTGTCTCTCTCTGCTTGAGATATGAGAAAACGAAAACAAAAAATGAAAAACGACTAAAATTCATTTTTTATTTCTCTCTCATTTTACATTAAACTAAAAAATTGTTTTCATTTCTGTTTTTTGTCTTTATTGCGCCAAACACCGTTTTAAAAACGTTTTCATTTTTTCTTTCTCAAAAGACGTGAAAAACAAAAACAAGATCAATTCTAAACATGGCCAGCATATCCAAGAAAAGGAACAATATCATTACAGAAGAAAATAGGAGCCAAATCAGTAAATGATGGAAGAGGGAACACAGAAAGTAAGAGCTTTCAATGAATCCTTAGGCGATGGAAATGAATAAGAGAAGCAACATAACACAACCTGTTCCTAATACAGATCTAACCCTATCTGTAAAGGGAAAATATTTTTTTTAAAAAAATTTCCGCTACAAATAGATGTAAATACCAGTACAGAACATGTGTGGGGGTAAGAGAACAAACTAGCAGCACCCAAAAAAACAAAAGAAAAAAAAGTAAACAAACAGAAGATTCAGTAAAAAAATAAATAGGCTCGCAAAAAACGTTGACTTAGGAGCAAAAGAAATAAGTAGAAAATTTCTTTAAAAAAAAGATGAAAAAATAATCCATATTTGTGCACAAAAGATAGAGTAAAAAATTGAGAAAAATAATAGAAACGGTAACAAAGAAAGTAAGAGCATGACAAAACTTTAGGCAATGAAAAAGAATAAGAAAAGTAACAGAATACAATATTCATAATTCAAATCTAACCTTATCTGTAAAAGGGAAATTTTTAAAAAATAAATAAATTTCCGTTACAAATAGACATAAATGTTAGGGAATTCTTTTTTTCTGTCTCGACAATGAACAGGGAATTTTTTTTTTTTACTGCACGTGAAAACAAATAAGTAGACCCCACTTTCATTAGAAAACTAACATCACAAACAACACATTCACACTACGTGTCTTACTTGAAAATGAACAGGGAAAATTTCCGTTATGTAATTTTTTTTTTTTTTTTTAAATTCCGCAAGAAATAGATGAAAATGTCAACTGAAAACGTAAACAAACATCAAAAAGGCAAAACGGTAAATATATATTTAAGAAGTTAAAAAAAGAATTTTACTGTTTAT